CCCCCCCCCGATCGGTGCCACAGTCCGGTCGAGCGAACGCAGAAACCTCCGCGGCCGCCACTGCTGCCGCCGCCCAAGCTGAAAAAGAGGGCCAGGCTGTGCCAATGACGATCCCTTTCACTAGTGGCAGAGCCCTCGCTGTCGGGTACCTGCAAGTGCTCATAGACGCCGCTTCGGGTGGTGGTGGGGAAGGCGGGGGGGGTGGGAGGGAGGAGGAAGTTACCTCGGCGCTGCACGACGAGCTTGCGTACTTGCTCATGGAGGGCCTACTGGTGAGACGGAGAATGAGGGTTGGCGGGGTTGGCGGATGGGAAGGATGGGGGGGAAGTGATCTGCGCATCCCTGGAATACATAGGTTTCGGGGCCTCTTGCGTGTCAAATGCGACGGAGATTGTGTGCTCTTGATCCGCTCGCTCGCCAAGAGGCTACGATGTGGCATGCCCTAGGTATTCTCACAGGTTTCGGGGCCTCTTGCGAGTCAAATGCGACGGTGGTTTTGTGCACCTTATTCGCTCGGCAAGAGACTATAGTACCGGCTTGCCTTGCCTCGTTCTTTCATTAGCAGCACTACGTTGGGATGTGTGGATGCGATGCGTTTGTCGGGAGGTGGGGTAGTGCGCGGCGGGCGCAAAATGTGCGGACTGCACATGAAAAAGTACCCCACTTTTAGTGTTTTGCTTCGATGACCGTTTGATCCCCGGTGCTAAACGTCGCTAAAGGTGGAGCAGGGAGCGGCAGCGGATCGAGGCCAGAGCTCGAGGAGGCTTGGTTCCTCCTCCAAGAATACCGCGAAGGACAAGAACGGTCTGGCAGCGGCTTACAGACAACGCTTGCAGCTATTCTTGCAGGTGAGTCTATGAGTAGATCAAACTGTTTGAACCGCGACCTGACGTCGCTTGGCTGTAGGTTTGAAGCCGCGAGCGGTGGGTGGGGAGGCCCTTCCTGCGTTTCCCGCTTCCACATTCAGGTCGTAGCTTTGGAACAGGCCGACTGGCAAATAGATGTTGTAGCTGGCTAGTTTGGTGTACGCATAGGGCAAGGGCAACCATGTTGCTCGGGTCAGTATGTGACCTTGTGCTTCTCTGGGTTTCCATCTTGGTTTTTCTGCCGTGGTTCCCACTTCCCCGTTGTTTGCGTTCCGTTCTCGCTCACTGCTTAACGCTCCTCGCACTACGCTTGGCGTTTCACCGACATGGACAACAACACAACGACAACGTCGACGGTAACGATCACAATTACGACGGCAATCGAAGACGAGCGAGAAGTACAACCCCGCGCGCTTGCTGTCGGTGATCCCTTCTCACTTTTTGGAGGAGCACGCCTTGCTCCTGTCGAGACTGGGGAGACACGAGGAAGTGTTGCACATCTACGTCAGACAGGTTTGTGCGAAGCCGCATTGGCAAAGAGGGCTCAGGGAACATGCGTTTCAACATGTCCCTTTGTCCCTACCAAGAGCTGTGCAGCAGCACACACAGTTGTCATTTCTGGCAGTAGTCCACCCTATCTGGTAAGTTTGGCGTGCCTCTTTGTGTGTGCCTGTCGGGATGCTAACCCGACGTCCCGACCTGCTGTTTTGCTTCTACTTGGCAGCTCAAGAACCGAGAGATGGCGGAGGCGTACTGCGGACGAATATGGGAGAGGTGCGAGAGCGCTGCCAAGGCGAAGAGTGCAGCCAAACAGGGCGCATCAGCAGGCGAGTGCGCTTTTCATGCCACCCTCCGGGATGGAGTCCCGAGTTGGGGTGTTGGTGTGACTGCTGCGAACGCTCTAGAGACTATACCACCCGATGTGGTGGTCCGCGTGACGGTGCATGACCAAGAAGGCGTTGCCCTGTTTTGTTCCCCGGAAATCAGGCCCTCTCCTTGTGCAACTTCCGGTGCAGTGCTAACAACTTGAACAGGGAAACCACTTCCAACACCGTCTTCGCATTCCATCAGCCTCCCTCGCAACAACTGAATGCACCCCTTCTTCTTCTTTCGTGTACCATACCTTTTCTTTCGCGATAGACGCCGCAACCGCGACGCCATCCCCAGATGAAGAGGTGTACCTTTGTCTCCTGAAGGTGTACCTCCAAGGCCAAAACAAGGCGGGAGGCCACCACCCTGCCCAGATAAAGGCTGGATCGCCTTCGAGCCGCAAGGCTTCAGACGACGGCGTCGCTGCTGTCGGAGACGAGGTCGGAGGTCTGGACGAGGCAGTTTCCCTGCTAGAGAGGCATTTTTCCAGGGTTGATCCGGTCAAGGTCATGGCGTTGCTGCCGCCGAGTGTCCCGGTGGCGAAGCTTCTACCTTTTCTCTCGTCGGCGGTCAGGCATGCGGAGGCAAGGAGGCGGAGCAACCAGGTGTGTGTGTATGTGTTTCGTTAGTGAGCATTGACCACGCTGACCAATGGCAAATGCGTGAGTGTTACCAGCGGGAAAGTGCACCGCGAACACGCGCTGCTGTGTGTTTCGTGTATTTCTTTGATGAGCACCGACCACGGTATTGCAAATGCAAAGAACGTGCTTGCTCATGATCGGGGTCCCTCGGCGGGTGGGGCGCGGAGAAAGCTGGACGATATGTGTGTGTGCGTGTGCGAGAATGCGCGAAGGAGCTTGTGGTTCATGGTCATTGTTGCTGGTTGTGGTTTAGGCTTCAGGAGAAGTCCGTCGTCGCGATCGCGTCGTGGCCGCGAGGGTGGCCGCTCCTTCAACAGCAACCGAGACGGTTTGCTGTTGCTGCTTTACCTCTGGAAATGACATGTCGTCACTCAGGCCCCGGAAGCTGATCGATGGTGTAGCATGAAGGGAGCTCGGCGCGCGGTTGCCAGGACTATGTTTCGATTGCAAGAATAACACAAAGCGTGAACAACCGCGCCTGCTCTACGTTCGTCGTAGATCGCCGTACGCCCCCCCGAGGAGCTTACCTAAAGCATCGCCCTGCTCGTTGCAAGTGATGCGTGCCGCGAGATCCCACCCGTGTTGATGTTCACCCAATCAGCCGCCAATCGTGGTGGAATTTCAAGACAAACAAGAGGTGGGGGTTACGATTTCACCATCTCCACAACGTCGCTTCTAACCCCTCGTACCATGTGTCGTAATATGTATACCGTCTGATACCCCCCCTTCCCCCGACTGTCCCTCGTTCATTTCGATTGCACACCTACCTGCCTTCAGGTGACGCACCAGTTGTGCCGAGCAGATTATGTCAACGTCAAGTTCGAGCTGATTCAGCTGCAGGGGCAAGTGAGCAGAGTGCCCGAGCTTTCCCTGGCTTCCTTCCCCCAGCTTGGCACGCTGCTCAGGACTTGTCCTCCCGTCGAGCTCACGGATCCAACAGCTGACTACGGGTGCGGGACGCTGTTGGAGCCTTGGGGAGGGGGGAGGGGGTACCCCTATGGCGATGTTTTGAAGCTGTAGACCGTGCCCTTCGCTTTCCTTTTTTACGCCGGTGGTGGCGGCAGTAAGGTCTTGGATGCTTGATGGGCTGTTTTTGCTGAGGTTAGACCTGGCGTTCATCAACACCAACTCTTGTCACCAGCGTTGGTACGCCTCTTGCAAGACGACGGACCTGTCCATGTCTGCAGTTCGCGGAACGGCGCGCTTGAGGGAAGGAGGGCAGGGGTGGTGGTGGTTGTGGGATGCTTGATTTGGCTAACTCACTTCCGCTGCTTCCTCTCCTAGGAGAGGCACAGGTGCTTATCGGTTCCACGAGGGTCGGGTGCCACCACTACCCCTGCCCTTCTCCCCTCACAACTTTTGTGTGTGTTAATTTTTTGGTTCGGAAGATCGATCGTGATAAGGGGTGGTCGCGCTTTTCCTCCTGTTCTACCCGCGTTCGTTTGTTTTGAAGGGTTGGCTGCATCAAGCACGTTTTCGAGTCCTTCATCGTGCTTCAGTTCGACGTGACCAACAGGCTGAGAGACCAGAGGCTTCACAACGTCCTCGTCAAAGTGGAGTGCAGGTGACTTGTTGATTGTATGTTTGTTGGTGTTTGTTGTACTTCCTTGATGGAATTTAGTAGTCATCTCGCCCACACGCTGTGCCGATTTCCAGTTTTACCTTGCTCGACTCCGAACAGAAGACGAGTTCAGTGCGATACATATTTTCTTTATTGAGCTTGGCCTGGGTTGGCAATGTTGCGTCCCTTTTTTTGATTGGGACTAAGATGGCATCAGCGGGTGACGGTGCGTTTTGTGTAACCAAGGCAAAGTTTCCGTATCACGACAAACCCGCGAATGCACCCAGGAATTTTAGTCGTGCCACAACTTCAATGCTCTACGACAGCGACGGCTTGTGCTGCTTATGTCATGTTCCACATGTTTCCCCGCTACTTTCAAGCCTTCCCCTCAAGTCGTCTGCATTACCACTAGCGCCTTTAACCTGGCCTTCCGACCCCCCCCTTCCCCCCACCCTCCGTCTCTTGGTAGCGACCCGGACCTGTACTCCATCAAGACCGAGCGACATTTTCCGGCATTGCCCCCTCATGGCTCAGGGTCGTGCTACACCGTGCTCTCGAGGTCGCCGTCTACGAGCGGTGTGGGGAGAGGGAGCGTGGGAGGAATAGGCGGAGGGCCGTCGGTGTTATTTATGTGCGAACTAAGGTGAAGTCTTAAGTCTCCCTCTTGGTAGTTGTGACCACACCACCGCACCCAAACGAGTCCAGGGCGCAAACAGTAGGCGTACAGCAGTTATCGGTCTTCAGCTTGTGTTGCTGGTGTTACTATTCACTATGATACCAGACTCGAGTGACGATTCAAGTGGGTAAACGTTCAATAGGTGCATTTGTACGGGAGTTGTTGTCGCTACAGGATTGGTGCTGTAGCTTCGAACTTTGCACGATGACCGTTGCATGCAAACTCACGCTCCGGCCCTCTCGACGCTGCCCATGGTATTGGCTACGTGGAGAGCGTAGAGGGAAGCAATCGCGATCATGGTTTCCCTCTCCCTTGTCTCCCTAAACTACGCAACTGCGCGGCCCATCAGTGCCTCTGTTCTTCGTCTCCGGCGGCCCAATTCGGCATCGAGACCTAGCTTTCCTGCGGCCTTTTGGCGGCAAGCATTTTCTAACGTTCGAGCTGTCACTGGTGGAGACGACTCTGTGATATCCCCGAATTGTTGACGGTCAGCAACCTCACTCGAAGGCGTTCCAAGTGCGGCACAAGCCGACGTTCTTATTTACTTTATTCTCCCACACTTGTTTTTGTGCCGCCCTGCTTTGCAAGGTTTACGTCTGCCCGCATCGGTTCCGGAGGAGCGCAAGGGATCGGGATGGCAGAGTCGGCGTACGACAAGGGAGGGGGTTTCATGGAAGAGTACCTGTTGGAAGACTTGGAGCTGTCGCCGGCTGACCTTGGGGAGTGAAGATGTCGTGCCGAAGCAGAGGGTATTTTGGTATCCACGGTCCTGTCTTATGTGATGCCGAATGGTGGAGGTGTGTGTGTTGCGATGTCGTGCGCAATGTTTTCAGTCGCAGAATTCCCCCGGTCGAATGGCACATTAGTTTGTGATGTGCTGCGGCGCGTGCTATGGGATGAAGGTTGCAGAAGCGCTGGTTATGGAGTAGCTCCACCCTCCCTATCCGTGTCATGTTGCGTAGTTCTGACACGGGTTTTGTCTGGGGAACAGAGCTTTGCCGCGTGTGGCCTCGGGCTCCGGGCGAGCCAAGGACTTGACGCCTCTGTCTGTGCCCGTGTCCTGCGAACAGTATTTGGTGGTCTTAGTTCTTGCAGCGCAATGGAACGAGGCTTGAGAATATTTGAGTATGTGTACAAAAGAGAATCACGAGAGGCGGACGCGCTATTTCCACGCAACGATAACTGTTACTGGTCGAGCAGGGTCAACTGTTTTTGCAACGTTGTCCGGCGCCACGGATGTCTGTTGGGCTGCGGGGTATTTTGGAGGTTGCATGAGGCTATTATAGTAACCCACATTGTTAGTGGTCTCGGGACGTTGCGCACAGTATAGAGCAGGGCCCCTGACGCCGCGCACAATATAGTGCCGTCTCCGCACTTGGCGGGGGTCTGTCTGTTACGAGCGAGTCCACCCGCACTAAACCGGGCACCCGCACCAAAACCAGTACTACTATCGCGATCCCTCGACTGCAACCCACAACCGGCGAGACGCGTTTGTGTGTTGTCGTATCTGCGAAAACCGATCACTTCGTCTCTTTGGACCCCGGATGCCACCAGAGAGCGGGAAGATGTGGCACGTCGGCGGTTGTACCCTGCTACCTTGGTGATTTACCCCCTTTTGGACGATACTGAATGTCTGCATCCAGCCCGTTTGTCGACCATGGTTCGGTCTGATCGCCCCGCGTACGGCCCCGGCCAGCCGGGAAAGGGCGAACGGTGGGGGCGAACTTTCCTGATCGCACGCTAACCGAAACATGGGGAGCTCACAAGGGAAGAGTTTGGGGGATGAGGTTGCGCGCCTTGGTCGGTAGCGAACAGAGAACGCACGGAAAAATAGAAGCTTGCACAGGGCCACCAGCGTGTGGGTTAATAAAGGTCGAAGGTCATGTATGTACTGACATGGCGAGGTACTTACTTACGAACGTGGAAGTCGATCCTACGTTTGAGCTCATCAACATCGACAATACAACACCGCAGGTCTCGTAGGGCGATGAAACCGAGCTATTACGTACACAACAAACGCAAGCAAACCGATGGTCAATGGTGTGCGACAAAGGTTATCCCTCCCACTTACGTAAGTACCCCCGGAGGGGGGCCCAATTGCAAGACCTTCTTCTGTTGTCTGTTCCCATACTTCGTTATTTTTGTTCTTTGAATACGTTCAATAGTGCAACTCAACCTGTCCAACCTGCTGAGCACAGCAGTGTGACACGTTTTTGAAATATCGGGACAACATGAGACTCTGGCCGCAGCAACACCGCCGCCAGCTGCACTGCCGTGCAGGGCAGTCACCACCAAATGGTGGTCGGCTTTTGCTCGCGGGCAGCTTCGACCCGAACACGCCAACTCGAGACTGCCAGACGCCGCTCCACCTCGTTGCTTTCACGGGGCACAAGGGCTGGTATTGTAGGACATGGTGCATCCGTTGACGTACGGGACGCGGGTTGAGTCACCATTTATCGAGGCCTACAAAGCCTGTATTCGCGGCTAGGGGCGGAAGGCCGCGGTGGGGCGTACTCTTATGTTTTGCATGTCTTAGCGGTTAGACCATTGACCACGCGTCCTCGAGAGGACGGAGCATTGTTCCCACAGGACCGATCACCGATGGCCAATCGTTCCTT